GCACTGGTGCACCATCACCACAGTCCCCTGTGCTCCTCCCTCCCTCCCTCTGATCCCTCTCCTGCCTCCTCCCCTGCAGTATGTCTCTGATTTATAATTATCTTTTTTTGCTTTGTTGTGTTTGTACTGTTATTATTTTTTTACACTGATGTCTTATTTGGTTCCCCTATATTCCTGCTATAGTGAAACCATCCGATTTTTTTTTCCTTCTGGCTTATTTCCCTGAGGATAATTCCTTCTAGCTTCATCCAAGTTGCTGCGATGGCATGAGTTTATCTTTTTGGATTGCTGAATAATATTCCATTGCTTATATACATATATCGCATCTTCTTGATCCAGTTATCTATTTTTGGTCATTTGGGTTATTTCCAGGTTTTACCTATTTTAAATAGTGCTGCAATAAACATAGGAGTACAGGTGGTCTTTTGAATCAATGTTTTAGTGTCCTTTGGGTGGATACCTAGGAGTGTTATTGCGGGGTCATATGGTAGCTCCATTTTTAGTAGACTGAGGAACCTCCAGACAGCTTTCCAGAGTGGTTGGACTAGTTTGGACTCCCATCAGTAATGTAGGAGAGTGCCGTTTTCACCACATCCTCGCCAACATTTGTTGTTGCTTGTTTTTTGATATGTGTCATACTTACTGGTGTAAGGTGGTATCTCAATGTGGTTTTCATTTGCATTTCTCTGATGATAAGGGATGTTGAACATTTTTTTCATATGCCTGTTGGCCATTTGTATTTCCGCTTTGAACAAATGTCTTTTAAGTTCTTCTGCCCATTTCTTCACTGGATTGTTTATTTTTGTTTTGTTGATTTGTGTGAGTTCTTTGTATACCTTTGTGATCAGTTCTTTACCCATTGAATGGAGTACAAAGATTTGTTCCCAATCAGTGGTGTGTCTCTCTCTGTTTTGGTTAATGTCTTTTGCAGTGCAGAAGCTTTTCAGTTTGATGTAATCCCAGGTGTTTATCTTTTCCTCAACTATCTTTGCTTTGGGTGATGAGTCTTTAAATATGTTATTGCAATGTATATCTTGTAGTGTTTGACCGATATTTTCTCTATATATTTTATTGTTTCAGGTCTTATGTCCATTTCTCTTATCCACTTTGAGCTGATTTTTGTGAACAGTGAGAGATAGTGGTCTAGTTTCAGTTTTTTGCATGTGATGGTCCAGTTTTCCCCACACCATTAATTGAACAAACTGCCCGTGTTCCATTGCATGTTCTCTACTCCTTTCTCAAAGGTCAGTTGTCCATATAATTGTGGTTTTATTTCCGGGCTCTCTATTTGGTTCCATTGGCCTGTGTGTCTGTTTTTGTTCCAATACCAAATTGTTTTAATTATCATGGCTTTGTAGTATAGCTTGAAATTTGGAAGTGTGATACCTCTTTCTCCTTTGTTTTCATCAGTAGGACTTTGGCTATTTGTGTCTTTTTGTGATTCCATATGAATTTCATCAGTATTTGTTCTATTTCTTTGAAGAATGTCATTGAGATTTTTATTGGAATATCATTGAATCTGTATATTTCTTTGGGTAGAATGGACATTTTAATGTTAATTCTTCCAATCCATGAGCAGGGGATGTCTTTCCATTTCTTTGTGTCTTCTTCAATTTCTTTTAACAGTGTTTTATAATTTTCTTTGTATAGGTCTTTCACCTCTTTTATTACGTTTATTCCCAAGTATTTGGCATTTTTTTTGTTTCAATTATAAAATGGATGGTTTTCTTGATTTCTTCTTCTTCAGGTGGATTGTGTATAGGATGGCTACTGACTTTTTATGTGTTGATATTGTATCCTGCTACTTTACTTAACTGGTTGATTATTTTGAGTAGATTATCTTTGGCATTTTTAGGGTTCTCTATGTATATTATCATATTGTCTGCAAATAGTGATAGTTTTACTTCTTCTTTCCCTATTTGGATCTCTTGTATGTCTTTCTCTTATCTTATTGCCCTGGTTAGGACATCCAGTATTATATTGAAGAGCAGTGGTGAGAGAGGACATTCTTGTCTTGTTCCTGATCTTAAAGGAAAGGCCTTCAGCTTTTCACCATTGAGAATAATATCGGCAGTGGATTTATTGAATATGGCTTTTACATGTTAAAGTATGTTCCTCTATCCCGAGAATTTCAAGGGCCTTCATCATAAATGGATGTTGGACTTTGTCTAATGCTTTCTCAGCATCCATTGATATGATCACAAGGTTTTTGTTTTTCTTTTTGTTCACATGTTGGATTATACTGATAGATTTTTGTATGTTGAACCGTCATTGTGCATGTGGAATGAATCCCACTTGATTGTGGTGTATTATCCCTTTGATGCATTATTAGATTCTGTTGGCAAGGATTTTGTTGAGGATTTTTGCATCAGTGTTCATTAGGGAGATTGGCCTGTAATTTTCTTTTTTTTTGTGCTGTCTTTGTTTGGTTTTGGTATTAGTGTAATGTTGACTTCCTAGAACGTATTTGTAGTATTCCTTATTTTTCAAAAAAAAAAAAATTAATATATGACTTTATTTTCCCCTTTATTTTATCTTTTTTATTTATTTATTTTTACATATTTTTATTATTTTTAACAATATATGTATTTTCATCTTGGTTATTTCTCCATACACTTTCCACCCCCTTATTTTGACCCTAATCCCTCCTCCCCACCCCAACTCCCGCAGTCATGCTCAGCAAAATAAGCCAGAAAGAAAAAGAAAAGTACCAGATCATTTCACTCATAGCAGGGGATTTAGAAAACCTAAATAAGAGTCCAGAAATAAGACTAAGAGTAAAAATAAAAATATTTTTCAATTTTTTAAAAGAGTTTGTGTAGGATAGGCACTATTACACTGCTGAATGTTTGGAAGAATTCATTTGTGAAGCCATCTGGACCTGGGCTTTTGTTTTGTGGGAGTGCTTTGATTACTGCTTCAATTTTGCTGCTTGTAATTATCTGGTTAGTTGTATTTCTTCTTTGTCCAGCTTTGGATGATTATATAATTCTAGGTATTTATCCATATCTTCTAGGTTGTTGAATTTGTTTGCATGTAAGTGTTCAGAGCAATCTCTGATCATTATTTGATTTCCACTGAGTCTGTTGTGATTTAGCCTCTTTCATTTATAATCGTAATTATTTGTGTTTTCTCCCATTTTTTCTTTGAGCTTGGCTGGAGGTTTGTCTACTTTGTTTATTTTTTTCAAGGAACCAACATTGGTTTCATTGAACTTTTGGATTGTTTTTTTTTTTTTAATTTCCATTTTATTTATTTCTGCTTTGATTTTTATTATTTCTGTTCTCTTACTGGCTTTAGGGTTTTATTGTTATTCTTTTTCTCGCTCTTTGAGATGTGAGATTAGGTTGTTTCTTTGAGTTATTTCTTGTTTCTTGATGTGAGCCTGTATTGCTATATATTTTCCTCTCATTACTGCTTTTCCTGCATCCCATGCATTCTGGAAAGTGGTGTTCTCCTTGTCATTCAACTAAAAGTATTTTTTTAAACTTCTTCTTTATCTCATTATTCCAGTGGTCTACCAGTAGTGTGGATTTCAATCTCCATGAAGTGGGAAGGTTCCATGTTTCCTTTCATGATTTATTTCTAGTTTGATGCCTTTATGATTGGAGAAGATATTTGGAATGATTCCGATTTTCATGTATCTGTTGATATTTGTTTTGTGGCCCAGTATGTGGTCAATTCTGGAGAATAATCCGTGCACGCTTGAGAAAAAATGTGTACTTGGATGTTGATGGGTGCAGTGTCCATGAATTCTATGTCTTCATTTAGGGCTCTAGTGTCTTTGTATATTTTTTGTCTCATTGATCTGTACATTGGTGAGAGTTGGGTGTTGAAAGCTCCCACTATATGTGTATTATTGTTTATGTCTGTTTTTAGAGCTGATAATAATTGTCTAATATATGTTTGTCCTCTTTCATTTGGTAAGTATATGTTGATGAATGCTATTTCTTTTTTTAAAAAAAGATTTATTTATTTATACAAGAATTGGGGTACAGTCAGAGGCATGGGAGGGTGAGAGGATTCACCAGAGACACAGCGGGGAGCAGAACAGGCAGATGGACCAAAGACACTGCTGAGGGGTGCAGCTGGCAAGGCAGAAGAGGTCTGCCATGCCATGTGGGTTTCTCCCTGTCTGGCAGGGAATTGAACCTATGCTGCAGAGGCTTTGGACAGCTTCACAGTGCAACACTCAACCCACTGTACCACTGGGGAGGCCCTGATGATTGTTATTTCTTCCTGGTGTATTGTCCACTTGATCATAACGTGGTGTCTATCTTTGTCTCTTTTTACCTTTTTTTTTATTTTTTTAAATTTATTTATTTATTATTTATACAAGCACTGGGTACAGTCAGAAGTGCAGGAAGGTGAAAGAATTCACCAGAGCCAGAGTGGGGAGCAGAGCAGGCAGAAGGACTGAAGTACACTGCTGAGGGAAGCAGCAGACTGCAGGAGAGGTCTGCGCACCATGTGGGACCCTCCTCTGGTGGCCAGGGAGCAACTGGGGATTAAACTAGCCCTGCAGAGGCTGTGGGCAGCTTCGCAACCTAGTGCTCAACCACTGCACCACCAGGGAGGCCCTCTTTTTACCCTTTTTAATTTGAAGTCTATTTCATCTGATATAAGTATGGCTGTTCCTGCCTTCTTTTTTGGTCCATTTGCTTGTAGGATTGTTTTCCAACCTTTTACTTTCAGTCTATGTTTATCTTTTGTGGTTCAATGTGTGTCCTGGAGACAGCAGAAGGTTCGATCTTGTTTTTTAATCCAGTCTGCCACTCTGTGTCTTTTTATTGACGAGTTTAATCCATTTACATTTACAGTTAATATTGATATGTTGACATTTATATTTGCCATTTTGTTTGTATTTTTTGTGATTTCATTCCTTGCTTTATTCTATTCTTGTTCATTCCTCTGTTGGTTTGGCTTTAGGACTTCTTATAGAATTTTTTGGAGTGGGGGTTTGGTAGTAATGTGTCGGGGCCCAGACCTGAGGCCCAGACCTGAACATCCAGGTTCTTGCCTGAAGCAGGTACTGAATGTTAGCTCCAGGGAAGGTTTCAAGTTTCCTATTGTGACGACTGAACCTTTCCCCCTGCTTGCTACTGTGGCTTGTTTGCATTGGTGGTCTCTCCTTGCTAGAGATAACGAGAGACCTCCTCCTCTGAACCCTATATAACATTGTACACATTCCTGAATAAATGAGACTGGCGATGATCCTGGCTTTGTCTCCACTCCTTGCGTACCCCTGTCCCATACCAAGCCCCTGCTTCCTCCCCCGGGTACCCCGTTGATCTGCCCGGCTGGCCCGGACATTTGGCGCCCAACGTGGGGCCCGGGTACGAGGAAGAACTTACAGAGGGAGAAGATGCCCGAAAAGGAAGCTAGCTAGCTCAGGAGGAAGCCTTATCGACGTGGGACCCTGCCGCGTCGTGGATAAGGTAAGCTCAGGTACAGCGTCTGAATCATGGGACAGGAAATAAGCCAGCATGAGATATATGTGAAGCAATTAAAAGTGGCACTTAGGACGCGAGGAGTCAGGGTCACAAAAAAGGATCTACTCCACTTTTTTGATTTTGTTCAAGACCTGTGTCCTTGGTTCCCTCAAGAGGGCACAATAGATCAAAAAAGGTGGGAACGGGTAGGAGATGCTTTAAATGATTTCTATGAAGCTTTTGGCCCGAAAAAATTCCAGTGACAGCATTCTCATACTGGAATCTAATTAATGATTTAATTTCAAAAAAGGAAGCCTACCCTGATATTAAAAATGCCATTTGCCAAACAGAACAACTGCTTAGAAGTGCTTCTCCCAGCACTGCAGGGGCCCCATCCCCCAATGATCGCTGTGAGGACTTAATTCCGTTTCACAGTGATGCGGAGGATGATCCATCCAAAGAAGAACAAAAAGAACCTTTAGAGAAAAATGAAAGGGCCTCTCCCGACCGGCCCAAAATAAAAAAGAAAAACAGAATTTATCCCTCTTTGAGCAAGTTTACTTTTGTAGCTACAAACCCTCCTTGGTCTGAAGAAGAGGGCGGAGTTTTTCCACTGCTTAACTCCAAAAGTGAAATCAAAGTTGCTTCTCAACCTCCCCCCACTATCGCAAGAGGGGAGGATCCTGAGGCGGGTGAAGTAGATTGGAGCAACCTGGAGGAGGAGGCTGCACGTTACAATCCCCACTCTCCTCCTTATTACACGGCAGCTGTTGCCTCTGTGCCCTCACAACTCGTTGACCCTAATCTCGACCTTAAAAACCAAAATCGCCCACCTTGAGGAGCGCATGCGCCTACAGGCTCGTTATCATAAACTTTCCCTTCAACTTCAACAGATTCAGTTAACATCTTCATCCAACTCAGATCCCGCTCTGCCATTATGGGGGAAAGGTGACGCCGAGACCACCTTAAAGCCGCCTTTATGGGGTGGAGTTGACGCAGACACCATTTTAACTCCTCCCCGGGCTCCCGCAGTTTTGTCTGCTTACCCGCCTCCCAAAAAGCCCTTTTCTGCGGCTTATGTCTTTCCTGTTATTGAAGCTCCAGATGCTCAAGGCCAATGCCGCCATTATCACCAACCACATAATTTTCAACATTTAAAGGAATTAAAGACCACCGTTACCCAATATGGTGCTAGTGCCCTTTTCACTCTCACAATTCTTGATTCTATCTCAGAAGGGTGGCTCACTCCCCTAAATTGGCAAACTTTAGTAAAGGCTGTCCTTGATGGCGGAGATCATTTACTTTGGAGAACTGAATTTCAGGATCTCTGTAGGGACCTGGCCTGAGAAAATAAACAGGCTGGAAACCCATGGACTTTTGAAATGCTCACAGGCTCATGAGCTTCATCATCTCAACTCTCGCTCATTACTGCTTTTATTTAAAATTACTCGTGACCAAGCCAGACAAATTGTAAAAGCCTGCTCCACCTGCGGGACAGGTCTTCCTGTGCCCCATCTTGGTGTTAATCCCAGGGGCCTCGTCCCCAACGCCCTCTGGCAAATGGGTGTAACCCATAATTCTCAATTCGATTCACGTTACTGTGGATACCTTTAGTGGGTTTCTCCTTGCCACCCTTCAAACAGGTGAAACCTCTAGACATGTTATTGCACACCTGCTCCACTGTTTCTCCATTTTGGGGATCCCAAAACATATTAAAACTGATAATGGCCCATGCTATACTGCAAAGGCCTTCAAAAATTTTTGCTCTACCCTGTCCATTCACCACGCCACAGGCATCCCTTATAATCCTCAAGGACAAGGCATAGTTGAGCGTGCCCATCTTTCGTTAAAAACCACCATCCAAAAGATTTTACATGGTTCCTGGTACCCCTCTAAAGGTAACCCCCGCAACACGTTAAACCATGCTCTGTTCATCCTCAATTTCTTAAGGCTTGACGCTCAGGCGAAAAGTGCGGCCGATCGTTTCTGGCATACGGAAACGCAAAATCAATTAGCCATGGTAAAATGGAAGGACCCTTTGGACAATACTTGGTACGGCCCTGACCCAGTTCTGATCTGGGGAAGGGGATCTGTATGTGTCTTCTCACAGACTCATGATGCAGCCCGATGGTTGCCTGAACGGCTTGTCAGACAAATTGATCATAAGCACCAACCCAGGGACACTCAACTTCCCTGAGGTATCTTTTACTTTTGATTTCTTACAGTATGGTGACCACTTCCTGGCTCATCCTCTGTGCTGAGATGTTACTTTTCTCCTCGGCCTTCGCCGGCTTCGGAGACACAGGCCAACTGATGTCCTTGACTGAAGCACTGTACGGTAAACCCTGTGATTGTAAAGGGGGTTACATAAAAATGTCGCCCACCAGCTATACCTCTCAGGTGACCTGTACTGGTGCCATTGCCTACTTGGTAACCACTTGCTATGGGCCCACAAGCCGTCAGGCCTGTTACAAGTGCCTGAAAACCTCCGTAAACCTCTCTCCGGGCGGGCGGTGCCCCTGCACCAGTTTTCTTTCTTCAGTCCACTCCTCGTGCTACAAGACTTTTTCTCAATGCACGGCCAATAATAATAAGACTTATTATACTGCTGTTCTTATCAGGAAGTCCCCTGCAAATCAGCCACTGGCCTCTACCTTGCTGACCACCTGTGGTGCTAACAAAAAGGTCGGTGACACAGTGTGTTGGGCAACTACTGCCCCAGTACATGTCACCGATGGAGGAGGTCCTCAAGACAAAGCCAGAGATCACTTTGTCAGTACAGTCTTAAAACAGCTTGCACCACGCCTTCCCCCTGCGCTTAGCTACCATCCACTTGCCCTTCCTGCTGAAAGACAAAAGTTGGGCATTGACTACAATACTTTTAATATCCTCAACTCTTCGTTCAATTTACTTAATTTAACAAATTCCTCACTGGCCAATAATTGTTGGCTATGTTTACAAATGGGTTTCCCTGTGCCTTTGGCCTTTCCAACAACCAATTCCTCACTTGCGCCCTACCATAATTGTTCTTTCTCGGTTCCCATCTTGGTTCAGCCTATCCAGTTTTTTGAGGCGCATTGTTTCACTTCCGATCTTAATACCTCTCTTGACTTGGGCGCACTAGCTTTTTCAAATTGCTCCACTTTTACCAATGTCACTTCTCAGGTGAATTCTCCTCTTTGTCCTCCCGTGGACACTGTTTTCATTTGTGGAAATAACCGGGCGTATACCGCATTGCCGACTAATTGGACTGGTCAATGTGTGTTGGGGTTCCTTCTACCTGACATAGACGTTGTTCCTGGAAGTGAGCCCATGCCCATTCCAACAGTTGACCATTTTTTCAGTAGAAGTAAGAGAGCAGTACACCTGATTCCCTTATTTGCAGGCCTGGGTATAACTGCCGCCGTGGCCTCAGGGACAGCTGGATTAGGCATATCTCTCTCACAATATACTAAACTGTCTCAACAACTTATTAATGATGTTCATGCTCTTTCTAGTACTATTCAGGATCTTCAGGATCAGGTTGACTCCTTAGCTGAGGTAGTCCTTCAAAATCGACGGGGCCTTGATTTGCTAACTGCGGAAAAGGGGGGTATTTGCTTGGTCCTGCAGGAGAAATGCTGTTTCTACGCCAACAAATCAGTAATTGTCCGCAATAAAATCCGACAGTTACAAGATGACCTGGAAAGAAGACGCCAGGAACTAGCTGAAAATCCACTCTGGACTGGTCTCAATGGACTCTTACCTTACCTTCTTCCCCTCATGGGTCCCCTATTAACCCTTTTGATATTGGTTGTCCTGGGTCCTTACATTTTTAACAGAATAATCTCCTTTGTAAGACAACAGATTCAGGGGCCTCCCCGGTGGCACAGTGGTTGGGCGCTGGGTTGCGAAGCTGCCTGCAGCATCTGTGGCGCTGGTTCGATCCCCGGCTGCTCCCCAGCCAACGGAGGAGGGTCCCACATGGCGCGCAGACCTCTCCTGCCGCCCGCTGCTCCCCTCAGCAGTGTACTTCGGTCCTTCTGCCTGCTCTGCTCCCCGCTCTGGCTCTGGTGAATTCTCTCACCCTCCCGTGCCTCTGACTGTATCCAGTGCTCGCATAAATAAATAAATAAATAAATAAATAAATCTTTAAAAAAAAAAGACAACAGATTCAGGCCCTTCAGGCAAAACCCATTCAGGTACATTACCATAAGTTGGAGATGCGAGATAAGGGAGGCTCTTACTCAGACTTACGCTCAGTCTGAAAAAATAAGACCCCCTTCCCCTGTGCGATGGACTGGTCAGCCAATGACGGGTAAGATCGGGGGCAGACTCAAAATGGCTTGAGGTGCTAAATCGCCACACGTCTGTGACTCCTGAGGACCTAAGACAGGCGCAGTCCCTGAGGGGTTTTTGTCTTTTCGCTCTCTCATTAGAAATAATAGAAAAGGAGGATCTGTCGGGGCCCAGACCTGAGGCCCAGACCTGAACATCCGGGTTCTTGCCTGAAGCAGGTACTGAATGTTAGCTCCAGGGAAGGTTTCAAGTTTCCTATTGTGACGACTGAACCTTTCCCCCTGCTTGCTACTGTGGCTTGTTTGCATTGGTGGTCTCTCCTTGCTAGAGATAACGAGAGACCTCCTCCTCTGAACCCTATATAACATTGTACACATTCCTGAATAAATGAGACTGGCGATGATCCTGGCTTTGTCTCCACTCCTTGCGTACCCCTGTCCCATACCAAGCCCCTGCTTCCTCCCCCGGGTACCCCGTTGATCTGCCCGGCTGGCCCGGACAGTAATGAATTTCTGGAGTTTCTGTTTGTCTGAGAAGGTCATATTTTTTTTCTTCATAGAGGAAGGAGAGCTTTGCAGGGTAAAGGATTCTTGGTTGGCATTTGCTGTGTTGAAGTTTGCTGAATATGTTGCTCCATTTTCTTCTTGCCCATAATGTTTCTTTGGAGAAGTCTGAAGTTAACCTGATTCATTTTCTCTTATCAGTTATCTGTTTCTTCCCCCTTGCCAGTTTCATTATTAGGTGTCTTGCTGTAGTTTTCATTGTGGTAATCAGGTGTTCTTCTTGCTTCTTCTGTCCTTTTTCATGCTTGGAAAGTTTTCCTCAATTATCTACTAGAATAATTTCTCAGCTCCTTTGTCTCTCTCCTCACCTCCTGGAATGCCTATAACTCTTACATTTCCTCTCTTCATGGAGTCTTGTAATTGTCTAAGGTTATCCTTATTCTTCTTCCTTTGCACTTCTCTCTCCTTTTCTCTTTCGGCTCTTTTTATTTTGTATATTCAGGAGTACTAATCCATTCTTCCATTTCATCAATTCTGTTTTCATTGCTTTTCCCAAAGTTCTTTATCTCCTCTAGTAATCTTTTTATCTCCTGCATTTTTTTCTTTCATTACTTGAGGTCTCAATTTCATTCTTCAGTTCAGTGATTATTTGTCTCAAATCATTTTTTCCTTTTTGTTTTCTTTCTGCTTTTTAATCATGATGATCATTAATTCTCTATTTGACAAGCAGAGAAGTTTTTTCATGTCATCGTTGAGCTCTGGGGACTGCTTTTCTTTTTGTGGTATGTCGTCCTACTGTGGGCTTGCTTGGTTATTTATATTTTTCCTTCTCCCTGCTCTTTGCTTTTAATTAGTTTTATGTGTTGGGACTTTGTGCCACTGGTGTTGGCAGGCATCTCTTTTGGGTGCTCCTTCAGTGGTGTCGGAAACTGTTTACCAGACCAAGGACAGCACTGTATGCCAAAACTCCACCAGGGTGTTGATGCTGTGTTGCTGGGCACTGTCCCTTATACTTCCCTCCCTCTGCATTTACTCAGTTCCAACAGTTGATGATTTTTTTCTGGTCAATATGTGGTGCCAGAGATCTTTCCTAGTATCTTTCTGGAAATTCACCTGCCCCATGGGTCTCCAGGGAATAGAATGGGGGTGGCCTGGAGCACCTCAGTGGCATGGGGGAGCTGTGTCTGTCCTGTGCCCCGCTGTCATGGGGATTTCAGGCCCCAAATTTCATGACCTGGTTATCAGTTCTGAAGCCCTCAGATCTGCCATGTGGGTGGTAGCCCAGTTCAGTGTCCTCAGAAATGGCACCTTTTGCAACGCACTCCCGTGCCCAGGAGCCTGGTTTTTGATTACTCAGTGAGCGTCATTCATCTCCGTGATGGTTCCCGTGCATCTCCCCACAAACCTAGGTCGTGGTCTCAGGGACCTGGGCAGCTGGGATCCACGTATGCTTTTCGAGTGTGTGCTTTTCTGCACAAGCTAACTCGCTGGCCTTGGGCTATTTGCAGGTCTCTCTGCTAGAGTCCTTATCTTCTTCTAATGGCACCTAGAGCCTTTCACTCTCCTCCATGGTGGTTCCTGCACAGTTCTCCACAGTTCCTGTTTGTGGGGTGCGTTGCCTGCAATAGTTCCTTTCCACTCACTGCTCCTCTTGATTTGTAGTTTGTTCTTCTTCTTGTTGTTTTTTCTCCTTTCTGTTAGTTGGCATGTGCTGGCTTTGTGGTTGTGGGAGTGTAGCAGGGTTCTGATGCTTTCCTCTCTTCTTGTCCTCTTTTATGACAACTTTCCTCTTTGGGCAGTTTGGCAGAGTCGCCTGTTTATCTTCCATGTCCCGGTTCTAACAGGGACCTTCCACTTTTCCTCCTTTCCTCCTTACAGCTTTTTCTTTCTTTCTTTCTTTTTTTTTTTTTAATGGGAGGACTTACTCGCAGCATTTCCCTGCAGCCATGTTGATCCTCTCCCCCCTGTTCACTCCATTTTTGATCTCTATTATAAACTTTAGCCCTTTGACTGACAGCTGGAGTATTCAAATATGATTGGTTCATTTATGATTCTGACACAAGATTTAAGAGGGAGAAGTCTAGTGCTTCCACAGACTTGACCTGTTAAGGAGCTGTGGCATGAGATGGATTCAGTGGGCCAGAGGCACACTGTATCCAGTGCCCCTTCAGTAGTGCTGGGTGTGACAATGCAAGACTTGGACTCAAATCCCAGCTGCTACAGTGTGGATGCTCCTGGAAGTCTTCTGTGTTGGCCTTTTACCCTAAGGGACTCAACATTTGGAGACCCAGAGCTCCAGGGCTGGGAAACTTAGCCATTGCAACCCTGGTAGGGCTGCATGTTCTGAAGTGTCCAGGCTTGGGAAACATCTATGCTGCCACCTTTACCAGATGCTTTGAGAGTGGCCTGAGCACTGTCCACAGGCATCACTGGAACCCCAGCAGAGCCACTTGTACTGGGAAATGTCTGCTGCTGCTGCTCAAGAGGATCCCCCTGGGGGTTCTTGTGTTCAAACACAGCAGGAACAGAGGAGGGGCTATGTGCAGGTGGCATGCTAAAGTGGCAGACAGGAAAGCCCTGCTGCTGCTATTACAGTTACTGCTGCCTTCAGAGTGGCCTGCACCAGCTAGCATAGCCCTAGCAGGGTTTCTCACACCAGAGATAGTGAGCAGTAAAACACCCACCTGCTGCTGCTGATTCTGCTGCTGTTGCCATTGTTGTTGCTGTTACTGCTTTCACAGTGGCCTGTAACCTGTAACCTGCAAGCACTGGAGCCAGGATATGGGGAATGCCTGCAGGTGGCAGGTGGAAGGTTAAAGTAGCATTTCTTATCCCCAACAAAGATGGCATGCCTCACAGCTCAGGTAGTGGAGAAAAGTTGGTCATGCCCAGTGGCTCACACTATGGGAATATGATTTCTGATAGTTGATCTGTCTATTATTGACAGTGGAGTGTTGAAATCTTCTGCCACAAATGTGTTTTTCCCCCATGTGTGTTCTCAGAGTTGATTAAAATTGTCTATTGTATTTTGGTGTTCCTTCATTAGGTCAGTATACATTGATGGGTTTCCTTAATCATTACATTGCATTCCTCCTTGTCTCTTATTACCTTTTTTATTCAGAAATATATTTTGTTTTATATGAATATGGTTGTCCCTGTCTGCCTTTGGGTCCCATTAGCTTGTAGGATTACTGTGAGTCTATTTTTATCTTTGGAGATCATGTGTGTCTCCTGGAGACAGCAAAAGTTTGCAATCTGTTTCCTAATCCAAACATATACTGGGTGTCTTTTAAATAGTGAGTTGGGTCCATTTACATCTAGAGTGATTATTGTTATATGCAGGTCTGTTTGAATTTAGAAATATTTTTCATTGATTATAAGCACTGGGCTATAGTTTGTTAAATTCAACTAATACCTACATTACATTTGTTGGACTATGCTTATTATTTTGCTGTTTTACAAACATTGGAAAACAAACTTTCCTTATTTTGAAAATCAAAAAAATAGAAAAATATGTATAGAATAATGCAGAGAATGTGACCATTTACTGTGAAGTGCTACTGCTTGCATATCTAAATATTTTGCTTATTTGATACAATTTAAAGATGAGAAAATAAATTTCAGCAGACAATGCCCCAGTCTAGCCTAGCAGTGCCATGCCCTATGTTGCAACCCTCAGCTATCCCCAAGTGAGTACTCCTGACCCTTTACCAGCCACCAGCTCCTCAGGAACAAAAAGAAGCCAGAGCTGCAATCTTGAAGGACCTTGGTATTCACTGAAGGCTCCCAGCCATAATTGTAAGTGCATGCCGTTCAGGTAGCCAGTGCACCCCAGAAGACAAAACCCCACACAGTGCACCCCAGAAGACAAAACCTCACAGAGTGCCACTCCCTACATCAGGAACTACACTAGGTAACTTCCAGCAATCTCCTATCCTACTGGCCAACAGAAACAGGCACTGAGCCACTGTTCCTAGAAGAGAGGAGGTCCCAACAATTCAACCTCTAGACTCAGCACCCCTCCAAATCCCAGCCACTAGAACAAGGCCTAAGAGAGTGTTACAGGGGGCTCTAGCACCACCGCAGATCCTATAGTAGATGAACCAACAATAAACACCCAAAAGAGGATGATAAAAGGACTCATAAACAACTAAAGTCCAAACTACAGCAAAGGAAACTCAAGGCTCAAAATGGGGAGAAGGAATAATTACAAATGGCCAAGGACCACCTCACAGGAACAATGTACACAGAGGAAAAATCAGCCTCCAGAATCTAACAAAACTGACACAAAATTCTTCTCCCTGTCAGATAAAGAATTCAAAATTGCCATAATTAAGAAAGTAAAAGAACTCCAACAAAACTCAGGAAAGAAATCAGAGATACTCAAGAAGATGAAGGAAAAGAATACTATGAGAAACATAATGAACAAAAAGAAGAAGAGTGAAACTTTAAATGAGGAAACAAAGGAACTGTAGGATATAAAAAGATCAATGGAGGAGCTGAAACATTCTGAGAAAAGCCATGAAAATAGAATAGATGTTATGGAATAATATATCAGTATTCTCAAAGAAACATATAGGAAAAAAAAAGAGAGAAACAAAGGGAAAATAATGAAAAAGAAAAAAAAAACACTTCTAGTATTATCTGACAGCTTGTGGAAAGGAAAGATAAGAGTCATAGTGACCCCAGAATGAGATGAAATACAAAGGGATCTGAAAATTTATACAAGGTAATAATTGAAGAAAACTTCCATAAGTTGAAGAAGGAAATAAAAATAGAGATATAGGAGCTAAAATGATGCCAAACTATAATAATGAAAGGAAAACTACATAAAGCAAGACACATAGTAGTAAAGCTTCTAAGAGTCCAAGAGAAAGAAAACAATAATGAAGATGATGACAGGGAAGAAACAGATAACCTAACCTGTAAAGGAACACCAATTAGGCTGATATCAGACTTCTCTGAAGAACACTACAAGCAAGAAGAGAATGGAATGACATATTTAAAAAAAACTGAAAGATAAAAAATGCCAACCAAGAAAACTTTATCTTGCAAAGTTCTACTTCCAATAATGAGGGAATAATAATGACCTTCTCAAACAAACAAAGTCTTTGGAAATTCACTACTACTAGTGAATTTCAATTCAAATTCAAACAAATTCCGTGAAATATTACAAGAAGTCTCAAATTCTAAACCAACAGAGAAATGAACATGAAGAACTGAACAAGGTACTGAATAGAACACAACATGGTGAAGAAAATGGCATCAACAGAATTCCACATATCAATAATCATCCTAATAATTAATGAGCTAAACTCACCAATAAAAAGACACAGAGTAGCATGTTGGATTAGAGAACAGAATCCAACTTTATTCTGCCTCCAGTAAATACACCTGATTTCCAGAGATAAACATAGATTGAAAGAAAAGGGTTGGCAAACAATTCTACAAATGAATGACCCTCAAAAGAAGGCAGAAGAAGCCATACTTATATCAGATAACATAGACTTCAAGCAAAAATGGTGAAAAGAGACATGGATGGATACTACACATTGATCAAGGAGAAAATACAACAGGAAGACATAACACTCAACAATATATACTCACCAAATGAGGGAGCACCAAATAGATTAGACATTTCTGTCATCTCTAAAAACAGACATTGGAGAAAATATACATGTGGTAGAAGATTTCAACATCCCATTGTCACCAATGGACAAATCAAAGAGATAGAAAATAAACAAGGACTCAATAGCACCACATAAAGATCTAGGCCATGTGGGACTAAAAGACATCTATAAAAAATGAACCTCAAAAAAAACTGAATATACTTTTTCTCAAGTTCAAAAATACCATTCTCCAGGATAAACCACATATTGAGACATAAGACAAACATCAACAAGTACATGAAGACTGAAATCATACTAAATATCTTCTCTGACCAAAAAGGGATCAAGCTATACATTGACAATGGAAGGAAAGCAAGGAGCTCTCCCATTACAAAAAGACTGAATTATGCACTACTGAAAGACCATTGGATTAATGAGGAAATCAAAGAAGAAGCAGCTTGAGGCAAACAATAATGAGAACACAATCTTCCCGAACATATGAAACACAGTAACATCAATAATAAGAGGAAAACATATAGGAATACAGGCCCACATCAAGAAAGAAGAAATAACCCAAAAGAACCCAATGAAACAACCTAATCTCCTATCTAAAGGAACAACAACAAAAACAAGACCAAAAAAAAGCCAATAGAATAAAGGAGACAAAAAAAATTAAAGATGAAATGGAATTAAGAAAGATGTCCAAAAAAAGCAATGGAACTAAAAGCTGGCTCTGAAAAACTACACAAAATAGCCAAAACTCTAGCTAGCTTTAGGAAAAAAATAGAGAAAACTTAAATTGGATCATAAATGAAAGAGGAGAAATAACAACACAACAATCCAGAGTATTGATGAGATGGGCAAATTCTTAGAATTATATAATCACCCAATACTGAATAAAGAAGAAATAGAAAACTTGAACAAAACAATTACAAGCAGAGATTTTGTAATGATAATAAACACCCTCCCCCCAAAAAAAAGTGTAGGACTAGATGGTTTCACAAGCAAGTTCTACCAAAGGTTGAAAGGTGAACTAATGCCTAACCTACAAAAACTTTCAAAAAATTGAGAAAGAAGGAATACTACCAAATCATTTTATGAAGCCAACATTATACTATACGATCACCA